CGGTCAGCTCCCGCCGCGCAACGCCCCGCGCGGATGGGAAGCGCAGCCCCTTTCCGCGCAAAGCTGCTCCCCGCTGTGTGTATCCTTCCCCCAAAATCTTCCCGTCCCCGGCGGGTTGCTAGCGTTCCCAGGCGGACCAGGGGTACGGTGGGCACGGCGTGGCTTCTTCCTCCTCCCCTCTCCCCGCGTACCAGACCTGCCCTGGGGTCCCCCAACTTCGTTGCTTCTGGTTCAGACCGTCAGCGGCGTTCAAACGGCGCGGGGTCGGCGGCGAGAAAGCAGGTTACGGGGGTATGATTCTTACGGCACCGAAGTATTATGATGCTGAGCCAACAATTAAAAAAAAATCTAATTACACAAACAAGCTATTAATTTAAAAAGAAAACAGGGGAAGGGAGAGAGGAAAAAAAAATAACCCAAGCTCTTCCATTCATCCTCCGGATAATGGAATTTGCTTCCTTTCTCCGGCATGTGAATAGCCTAACAAAAACAACTTGAGCTTTATAAATAGCTTTTCATGTCCATTTAATGAAAATGATTTGGGGAAAGAGACGATTGTGCCATCAGTATTCTCCCGAGGAGCCTGGCATGCCGTTGTGTTTAGTTTGAAAGTGTAAATCTCTTTTGTTCCAGTAATATATGGCGTTAGCTGCTTGTCCTCAGTCTTTTTCTGTTAGTTCATTACTACACAATTACCATTCACGCTTCATTAACATCTCTATCTCTCTTGGGGAGGTTCCCCCCCCCCTTTTTTTTTAAAGGCCAAACTCTGCCCTTTTTATCATACCAATGCCATTGGGAACCAGGCAGTGTGCTAATTAGCTGTTACTTTTCATGTCTTACTGAATTCTCCAACTTGGGGGGGGGAGAAGAGATTAATATAAAAAGATGAATACTGATTGATCAAAACTGCATCTGAAGAGGGGCGGTTTTGTTCGAATCAGTCCTCATTTTCATCTCAAGCATAATAAAGCATCTGAAATGATAAAAGCATCTGAAAAAAAATCAAATGCTTCTGAGCAGGAGGGAAAGCTTTTTTATTATACCTCTATCCTAGCTAGTACGCCTGGCTTTGCCTTTTCAGGCCGGAGACCTTTGAATCTGGTAACAAAACCAGCCACTATTGATCCATTTTACACGTTTGAGTTGATAGGTCTAATCCCAGTGATCACTGGTTGAAAGGGGAGCTCTTAGTTAAGCCTAAAGCTCCTTTTCACGGCCCCAGGTTGATGGGTGCCCACCCGAAGGGCAGGGAGGGGGTGGTGAGGGCATGTCCCCCTCCTCTCAGCACTCTTGTGTCCTCCCCACAGCTGCCTCTGCCGTGGTCCCCATCCCTGGCACCTTCTCTTGGCCGCTGGCTGCCCGTGGCAAGCCCCGCCGGGGGATGCTGCGTCGTGCTGTCTTCTCCGACGTGCAGCGCAAAGCGCTGGAGAAGATGTTCCAGAAGCAGAAGTACATCAGCAAGCCCGACAGGAAGAAGCTAGCAGCCAAGCTGGGCCTCAAGGACTCACAGGTGAGAAGGCACAGAGGGTGGGTGCAGGGAGTTGGGCACCCCAGCCCTGGGGGCAGCTTGAGAGAAGGAGGGCATGGAAGCAGGGAGAACTGCCTGCGACTAGGAGAAAGTCCAAAGCAAGTTACAGAGCTGTGAGCATCAAAGGAGTCAAGAGAGCAGCACAGTTCCCAACTGTGGGAATAGGACTGGACATATCATGATCTTAATGCCCCCCCCCAGTCCCTCTCCTAGCGTCCCCAAAGGTCAAGTCCTCTGGTTCCTATTAGCTTCAGTACAGGCACAAGCAGAGTTTCAAGGGTGTAACCAGAAGGCCTTTCCTGGTCTCTGTTTTACCAAATTATTTGATTTCTGTATTGCTTTGCCACCCCAGGTGAAGATCTGGTTCCAGAACAGGAGGATGAAGTGGAGGAACTCCAAAGAAAGAGAGCTCCTCTCTTCTGGTGGCTGCAGAGAACAGACTTTACCCACAAAGTTCAACCCTCACCCAGACCTCAGTGATGTAGGCAAGAAGTGTTCCGGAGAGGAGGAAGAGGAGGAAGTTCCCCCCGTGTGCCCACCCAGCCCCCGGCATCCCTTAACCTACCACCAGTCCCCAGAACATCTACACTTGAGGGACAGACTGGACTCCCAGATGTCTCCTTCTCCATCCCATTCGAGCAGCCCCAGCAAACCTTCAGATTTCTCAGACTCAGAGGAAGAAGATGATGATGGGGAAGAGGAAGAGGAGGAGATAACAGTCTCTTAGATCACCCTGCCTGCCCCTAACATCACACAGGGACATTGCTAAGATGTAAATAAACCAGAGTGCTATAAATTGAAGAGGTAACATCCCACCCAAATGTCCACATACTTCTCCAGTGCAGGTTCATTATCTCATAGCTGCAAGACTTCCTACTCATAAGTATTCTTTATTTTTTTTGCCCCATGTGGAGGTTTTTATATTCAGAGCATCTGCTAACCTTTTCAGAACTCTCTGCTTAACAATCAACATTTGCTCAGTTAGCTACCTTCTCCTGAAAGAAACCAACAGGCAGCTTCCCACTCCAAAGTGGGGAGGAAAGTACAGCCCGTTCAGAGGGGAACTTTCTTACCCCCGATAAGAAACAACAAAAAAATACAATACAGACACTGTGGCCATTTTCACTACCTTTCAAGCGATTTTCCAGATACTATTAAGATTTCAAAACTGTGAAGACTGGTCTGATCCAGCAACTCTTTCCTCCATAAATTACTTTATTGAGGGACACATACCAACGCTTCCTCCCTCCTCACCCCAAACAGAACTGTACCTGTGCGACAGACCCTCTGAAACCCCTGGAATGACCTCTGAGGTACAATGTAATTGTGCCTTGTGTAATGTAGACCTTTTATATTTATATGTTTTTCATTTTAATTTATGCATCAATATTTCATTCAAAGCACTAACCCACCTTTTTGACCACTTTGCTTCTGCTATCTGTGGTGTGGACAGAGAAAAGTGGGTATGCCTCTTTGATTTTTTGACTGAACTTTGCTGTCTTTGCACAGCTTATATGAACTGTACACTATTTTGTACACTTACTCTGTATGGATGTTTTATACCAAGGTTATTGTGAATGAATATAAACAACAGCTCAGCAAGATTTCTCTCCTTTTTTAATTAAATGGCAGCTAAATTACAGACAAATGTAGCTGTTTAATTTTGTAACTTATAAATAAACTCTTATTTTGTATTTTACCATGTACAGACTTTAAATATGTATATATATAATAAAGTGAATGATTGCCAAATAAAAAAGAAAAGGTAGATTTATAAGTTTGATCATGCAGTAATACCTGGTTATGGTTCAGGTTGTTTCAGGTTTTGTCTGGGCCCAAACAGGGAGAGAAAAAAAAAAAGGAAAACTACCTTTACTACCTTTTATCAACAGTACAGTGTCTTCAATAAGAATTATCGGTTTCCAAATAATTAACCTTGCAAGAACATCCACCTGCCTTTTACCTAAGGAGTAACTCAAGCAAAGGAATAAAAATTTTCTGTAGTTAAAGTGAACACAGGTTCTCCCTCTTTGCATTTAAATGCAGCTTAATTTCTGCCCATGTTACCCTGTGCTCCCCTCTAGAGTCCTTCTGACCCTCCTCCTTCTTTCCAGCTATTGCCTGGGTAGGTTGGAGCATGGACACTTGCCTTGCACCACCCTGCTGAGATACTACAGGCTGTAAACTGGGAGGGTGTCATTAGAGTATTCCCATGGGCTAGAAAAACAGAATGGAAAAGACTGACTTAAGACAGGTCTTCAGCCTTAAGTCTAGTCAAGGAGCATTTTGACAATGCAAAGCATATCTACCTACTTGTTTATACATATTTCTTTTTAGGATACAAACACACACACAGAGAAACATCAACATTTTCTGCTTCGCAGATTCCATTACAAACTTTGCTTATTTCCTACTCCACAGAATCTGACTCATGCCCACCACTCACAACATGCCAGAAATTAATAAATAAACATAGCAGACATCACCCAAACACAACTCCCCCTGCCTGCTCCACCGCGCTGTCCTAGCCACAAGAAAAAGCACAAAAGGAGGAGAGAATGATCCCACTTGGACAGGGCCTACGACAACCACCTAGGACAGCTGCCCAACCGCTTCAGAGCTGGCCAAAAGTTAAAGCGTTTTACTAAAGGACAATGTCTGAAAGCCTCCCGAACACTGCCAGGCATGAGGCACTGGCCACCCCTCCAGGAAGCCTGTTCAAGGCCTTTAGCCACCCTCTAGTCTGGTAATCAGACACACTTAAGTCAGGACACATTTCCATTTCAATCATCCTCTACCTCTCTGCCACCTCGCAGCCATTAGCAATTGATAGCATGCACCCAAGACAGGGCAGAAAATGGGTAAGGAACACAGAGCATTTAGCCTACAAAACACAATGGAGCTAAGTTTGAGGGGTTTTGTTTGGTTGGTTTTTGTTTAAAGAAACAAAAAAAAACCTCAGAAACTTTTCCAAAAAAAGCAGCTCACCTCCCATGCCCAAAACATCACACAAATGCACATTAAACAGCAACTGGCACAACCAACCAGAGTCCTCATCCAGAGTCAAATAAAAGAGCTGTTATGTGCATTATCAATAGCATATACACTGGAGAACGTATTGTTATCCATCTGTTGTCTCTTTAAGTGATAAAGCACCCCCATGGCAATTACTCATAACTTAAATCTTACTAGTCCAGTAAACATGAAACCATAGTTAAGTAACCTATAAAGACAGAACTGATTCAAAACACATATTTTGTTTTAAGACTCAGAGGCTACTCCAGAGACCGCAGGTACCGCCATCCACATTACAATAATCAAGAGGGCAACTAGGTAAAAACAAGAACAGGTATCACTTACACCTAATCACTGTTCAACAGAAGCTACTAATTACCTTATGCTCTCTGCTCTTTAGAGATGCCTGCACCTGGAACGTTGCCAAAAATTATTTCAGACTACCTCTTTCAGCACGAGTGCTATTATATCTGATACAGCTAGACAAACAGCCTTACTAAAGGAAAAAACCAACCTTGATAGTTGAACAGGGGACAACCTTACCTAAAACATAACATTTCCCAGTCTTACTCTTTTTTTTTCTCTCTACTTTCAAGAGTCGCTTTTATAGCAAAAGAAACATCATATGACCACCTAGCACAACCAGTTCAGATTCAGACGCATCTTCAGACAAAAAATAAAAAGCTGGTTTTTACTTACCAACAACAGCTACCAGGCTGCATCCACAGCTTGCAGGAAAGGAGCCTCCCCTGCCCAGGGTTCCTTCTTATGCCCTGGCAGGTGAAGCCAGAACTCAGGGCTGCCGAGTGATGGCTCCTGCGGGACAGCTGTGCCCAGACGAGCCCTGCAGAACCAGCTGCCCTTCCTGAGGTCTGGTGTCAGAGGCATAAACTTATTCCCTTACCTCAAACGTGGAGAGGTTCCAGTTGCTTTAGGAGAATCTCATGACAACCGGGCTTGTTTCTGGCGGGCAGGACACTGGGAGCTCAGCTTGGGTGTGTTTCACAGAGCAAAATGTTTCATAGTTTGCCTTTGACATAAAAAGAGTGTCAGAGGCCTCCTGCCCCTATTCCCTGCAAGGAGCTGACCTCGGTGAGGCTAATGCAAACCGGCTGGGCCTGGACACTTCCCCCCGCCCCCTTCAGTTGTTTATTTATTAATGCAGCTCTCTGTATGCTTTGAGAAATGTAATGAAGTGTTTCCTGCTTTCACAGAGACATTTCTGTATTGACAAGTAGCATCCACGGTTTTTGAAACTCTGGAACACAGGAATCCTGCCTAACATGCGCTCCCATAACAGCTGCTGCTTTCTGATATAAAAGTGCTTTTTTTTGCCTCTTTTTTCTTTTTTTTTTTTTAAAGATCCAGTGGCCTGGAATGGTCTTGTGTGTCCATTCTTCTTTCTCACAGCCAGACTGGAAATACCTCACACTGGAGAATGGGAAAGGCGGGTAGGGGGGAATTTAGCTCTGGTGACTGTGAGCTCAGGGCAGCAAATTCTCAATTATTTTACCCCTTAAGAAACCAGCTGGTTCAACATCTGTGCCTGCTGTAACTCTGAGCTCCCCCAGCATGAGAGAGTGGCTTTTGGACAGGGCAAGAAATGAAAATAAATCATTTTTTCTGGGCAAAATATCCTTGCCAGCCACCCTGCATTTCAGTACTGCAGGGCTTGTGAATGCCACAGTTGAGAAAAAATAATAATAATTTAAAAAATTATTATTTTTAAAAGTACCTGTCCTCCAGTAAAGTTTGAACATTACAATCATCTTTAAGAAATAGAGCCCAAGATGGAAGGCTTTCCAGAAGTGCAGCTTGAGTGTCATGAAAAGCACCTCACCAGTGCTGGACCTGCCTCAGTAGCGTGGCAGAAATGCTCGGCAAGGATGGGAAAAGCATGCAGAATATAAATTCTTCCACCAGCCCTTGCTATTAATTTACATTAATTGTACATCTTTAGGGCTTTTTGTACTTTTCAACCAAGTCTGAACCTGATCTAAATAAATAAAATCCTTCAAACTCCCCAAACCGAAAAGATCATCACTTTTGCAACCTGTATGACAGGGATACAATACGAGGGAAAGCCCAGCAGGGTAGCCAGGACCTCACAGGAGTGCCTTTATCAAATGTGCCCAAGTGCTAAACGTTCTGCTTTTACCTGGTTTTTACCTCACTTGTAACCACCAGAAAAGACCTAACTGCTATACCAGTGAAGACAAAGACAGTCTTGAGAACCTCTGCCTTGTGAGCATTATTTGTAGCTGGTTTCCCTGCCCTGTTTAGGACTTTATGCCTTCCCTGTGCTTCTGCTTACTGCTTGTGTACCTGAAGATGCTGTTCTTGTTGTTCTTGACATCTTGGGCCAATGTCAGTTCTAGCTGAGCCTTGGCTTTCCTGACTGCGGCTCTGTATGTCCCAGCAAGGTTCTTCTAGCCCTTGGTGGGCAATTGGTCACCTTCCCAATGTCAGCATGTGTTAAAGCACATCCAAAACTCATTGCTAAGCCAGGGTTCTTCCTTCTGTTCCCTTTGGAGGGCATGGGCTGTTCTTTTGCTTCCAGAAGGCTGTTCTTGAGTAGGTTCCAGCACTCACAAGCTCCATTACCCTCCATGGATGATTCCCACAGACTCTCTCACAACTAGGTTTGGAAAATATTGATGTTGGCTCTTCTGAAATCCAGGGTCTTCGTCCTAATACTCGTCTTCAATTTGC